TTAAGGCAGGAACTCACTAGGCCAGGGGCTAACGCCACAGCTGAGCTGTTGTCTGCCCCAGGTAGGTACTTGAATCTAAGATGAGGATCCCGTGGTGCACCCCCACCACCACCACCACCTTCATGTTGATTGGGGGTGATGGAACCTCATCTTGAATATGAGTAAATATGATAATATGCTGCTTTTAGCTGCTTTTGTGTTTGCCACAATGTAATTATTTGGGCTGAAATATTTTCTATTTTGTCCCTGATCCAGAATGATTTCTTTGGAATCTCAGCCAAAACTGACTAACTTTTTGAAGACCAGTTTAGTGGAATATATTGCACCGTTATCGATTACTTCTTTCCCCAGTGTTTTTCTGTTTTTTTAAGAGTTATTTTTCTTTCTGGGAGTGAAGGAAAGGATAAAAATTGACACAAAAGTTTTTTTCTGAGGACAGAGAGATGCCTTTTGCTTTTCTTGTGAAAATTGTGTGAGATTTGGCCAAGTTGTGAACCATTTAGAGGCAGTCATGTTAGAGGCTAAGACTGTTCCCATAATTTTTTGATCATTCTATCTGCACTTCACATGTCCCTCACTCATGGTGGCTTCTCCTTCTTGAAGGGGTCATACAAATCAGAGCCTCCAGACAGAGCCCATAAGAAATTACAGAGCTGCCTTGGTTTTACAGCAAAAGTAACTCTAATAAACTAGTAATCAGTTATTCCTAATAATTTATTGCGAGAGTATGTAAGAGCTGCTATTGTGCTAGGCACAGTACGAAGTAAACAGTTTACAACCTTACAACCAGAATAGACAAGATTAGGAGATGCAGGAAAGTGAGAGAACTCACAAGCACTAGCAGACCCAAGTCCCATCCAGTTAGTCAGGCTGTATCTTGGAGAGAACCTCCCAAATCTCCAACTTTTTTGTTGTCTGTAAAATCAGATAACTTAGTTCTTCACTGTATATGTTGCCTTTTAGTAGTCAGCTTACAAAGGAAAAGGAAATAGCCTACCAGTTCTAGGCAGAATTCTGTTATTACTTGTTAACTCATGTTATAGGAAATGTGTTGCAGTGATTAAGATTGAGTTAGAAACCTTAGTAATGACCTACTTCATGTGAAGTTTGGGGGTTCTTTTGGGTTTTTTAAAGAAAACATTTGTTACATTAATGCAACATTTAGCAATCAGATTTGGGGATAGTGGAACTACGGTTGCTCAAGCACAACCTGAAGTTATGTACTTCCTTCAGTTTCATGCATGTGTTGAGGTAATTTAAAAAGTCACTGCTTTGACATCCCATATTTGAGTTTGTGTGTGGAGGCTTTCCAGGTATCACCTTAGCCTCTGAATTTTCACCTTCCTCTTCAGTGCAACATAATTTTGGCACAATGCTGTACTTTAAGATCTTCAATGCAAAGTTGTGTTATGTACTATGGAGGAACTTTTACCTGAATTATTTGCTCAGGAAATTCTAATACAACATTTGTGTTGAGAGAATTTATAAGGAAATCCAGCAGAAGCCAAAGATTATATGGCTATTGCTGGTCATGGTGCTGTTTTGAACAGAAGCTGATCATACCATTGTATTATTATTCACACCATTTTAAAATGACAACAAATTATAGAATAATACTGATTTTGAAGAATGGAATTGAAAATAAAGATATTTCTAACAGAATTCAAGACTTACTGCATCAGAGTGGAGTAGCTTTACCAGACTAAAAGTCTTTCAGCTCAGGGTTGCTGCTCTGCTGTAAAATATTGATGCACTGGGACAATGTTCTAGCAGTGTCAGGGAAATTTAGGCTTTGGGAATTCAGTTCTCAAAGCAGTTAGTAGCAATGAATATTCATACTTTCATACTTCAGGAAAAGGCACCATCACTCATGAAAATGGTTGCCCACTAAAGGCAGTTGGCTTGGTCTCTTAGGAAGGCTTCAACTCCTTTGGGCACAAATGAGGGGGCATCTCTTATGGAGAACAGGAGCATGGGGGGTGAAAAAATAAAGTTTCTGGTATGTGGGAAGGAATCACAATTTTAGGAAATGCGTATATATTCCTTCCCTGCCAATAGGAACAACTGTTTTCGTTCCTATATTTGGGGAAGAAATCTCTGCTTGTTAATGTTCTTGCTGTTAGATTCCATTGAACAAGTAATGTATGATATGTCTTAAGTGGAAGGGTAGGGACAGGGCTTCCTTAGTCTTACACTGAGCTGCAGCATTGACCTTTACTTGTGAAGCACGTTTCCTGTTTCATTCATCCTGAGAAGGGTGGTTGTCATTGAGATTTTATCCAATTTATTTCATGGATAGTTAGTATTTGGCTTGAAATCCTACATGTTTTAACCATAATTTTATTTTAAGTGAGGTTTAGCTGGTTCTTTAAGGGAAATGCAACTATTAAACCAAGAAGAGGCAGTTTTTTAAAATAAATTAGCTCCTCTGCATATGAAAGTCTTGCAAAAGATAGTTATGGGAAGAGGGCATTAAAAGGAAGCTAAAATGAGAAGTTTTTGAAGTAATGTAGGGTTAAGCAGCTGTTGTTTAAACTGAACTTAAATTTACTGAGGTTTTCTTACAATTGAATTATCTGATTTCCAAAGTAGTAAGGTTTTTTATTCTGAAATGTTATGGATTCCAAATTAGGTATTGAAAGTAGCCAGGGAAAGCTAATACTGAAAAGGATTTAATATTTATGCCTCATGTTTTACTGAACACATTTTAGCATCTCTGGTTTGGTACAGATAGCATATCTAGGCATGCAGATGATAACCCCACTGGTAACTATTTTAAGTAAATCTCAGAAATTTTACATAATGCTTAAAGAACTGGATGAGGTTTTCCAATGTTTTGGGCAGTTTACTTGCATCAGAATCTATCACTGGACCCATTTACTTTTAAAAACAGTGTCATACAGCATGCATTTTTACTTCACTGTGATTTCAGTGTACAAATATACATCAATTGCCACTAACAACATTGTTTTATAAAATACTCTGCTTCTTACAGAGTGGTGGCAAAAGAAGAAAAAAAGCAGTGAGCAAGCTATTCAAAGTATTGAAAAGTCTGCTTTATCCAGTCTGTCTCTTGTGCAACACTGTCATAATTTAAATGCTGAGTAATTTTCCATCTTCTTTACTATCAAATCAGTGTTAGAGCCAGGGTCTGTTCTGCTGTGCAAGAAGAATATTAGTGAACTGTAGGGAAGAGAAAGGCTGGTAGGTAGCAGTGGGTTTTGCCCTGTTCAGTTTCAATGACTCTTTATTTTATGATCCAAAGGGATGGTTTCAGGAAGACACTAGGAATATGTAAGTTAGAAACTACATTTAAGACTTAGAATCTTATACAGGCAAATGATATGGAATTGCTATACTGATAGCTAGAAGTTATGTTCATATTCAACAAACATAAATCAGTGCAAGTAGCAGGTAAGCAGACAAGTGATTTGGTTTACAGAAGGAGTTTGGACTGCTTTGTGTGGCAGTATTTCCCTAAGAAGCCAGGATTTCTTTTTTGTTTGGTTGGGGGTTTTTTTAGTACTTTAGCTTGTTTCAAAATTGTATGCATCTTTTTCTGTTTCTCTGCTCAGGGTCAGACTGATCGCCATATTTGTGGTCAGGAAGGAATTTTACCCCATGAGCAGATTGGTGTGGACTGTGGGTTTTTTTGCCTTCCTATGTAGCAGGGGGGCATGGCCCTCTAACCAAGATCTCATCTCTTGAGCATATAATGACAACATTACAGGGCATTGGCTGCTGTGGTTCTCCTGCTTTACCTGTGGCAGGTTAAGGCGTTAGGTCTGTGTTGTGTCAGAATTGACAGTCACTTTATGTAGAGTTTAGGTTATGGATTATATAGAATTGGTTGAATAGGGATGATCCTGCCTCAGGCAGGGGGTTGGGCTAGATGACCCTGTACGTTTTTTCCAGCCCTACTTCTTTATGATTCCAAGTGCCCTGAATAGAAGATCTGATGATCCTCTGATGATCCATCCTTCTAACCAGTCTCTCTAAGGTGTTCACATAGCTCCCATCTCCATAACATCAGAGTACATATGCTAAAGTTCATCTCTCCTTTTAATCCTGGGTTTATCTTGGGATTTATGCTGCAGTTTATGCCCCATTTCAAGTTTCTTGTGATTAAACAAGGTGCATTTTAGATGAAGGACTCCATCTCTTGATCTATAGTGTTGTGACATGTATCTTAGTAACAGATCACCAGATACTAGCAGCCACATTGTGGCTTTCATAATAGCACATCAGTGGCAAGTAACTCTAGTCTAATGAAAACAGTTAATGGAGAAAGTAAGAGTTTTGAGCCTCCTGATTAAGTGACTCGATCACTGTCATAAGTTGAATCAGTGGTGCAGGCAACACAGAAATCAGAATGTCTGACTTCCAGTAATGCACTCCAATCAATACCAAACCACTCTCCCTGCTTTGTTTTAATTTATTGACTTACAAGCCTGTTGTTTCTGTTTATTATGGTTTGTTGATGATTCTAGGTGGGGCTGGTAGCAGTGTAGCACAAAGGTTACCCAACACTTCATAACTGTAAAACCACATTTTTGGCTGCTTCCAGCTTTGCCAAGTTTAACCATTTGAATATTTCCATTACATTTCCATGCTGAATATCTCCCTCACCCCGCTTTTTTGAAAAGTTCAGCTAATTAGAGAGAAAACACCTAATGAAAAATACATGCTTATCCAATGTTAAAATGATTGTGGTGCTCTTTTTTGGAACACTCCAATGCCTGTATGCTTTAATAGCATCTTGAAATTTGGAAAGGAAAGTCTTTGGGCTTATTCCTCCCACACCTGTCACAGGCTGGCTAGTGTATCAGCCATTAGGCTTCTGGGTTCGGGATCAAGGAGGCAAGTCAGGAGTGAAGTAAAGGCAAATTAACTTATAGCTTAGCATACAACAGTTAACAGAAAGGTTAATGTGACAAACAGATAGTACAGTAATAAAGAGCTAATAGTGAATAATAACAACAGATAGACAGAATGACAAAGAGTTCCCACATGGGGTTGGCAACTTATTGGCAGTCCCTCTATGCCAGGTGCATGCCAAGTTGTTCCAGTGAAGTTAGGCGTACCCGATCAACGCTGTCCAGGGGGTCACCAGGTAGGTCCCTTGGTCAGAATCCAGTCCTCACTCACACTGGGAGTCCGGGGTCCAGGCTTGGTACAGCGATGGTCCTTCTGTCCCATCCTTCTAACTGGTCACTTGACATGCGCGTTCCTTTATGCCTTACCGTATGCTATCTGTTGGCTTTTAGAGCCACTCACAATCTTGCCCTATAGCTGTTACCCTATGGGATCAAAAGGTGTTAGAAATTATCATGAAAGGTTACTGCCCCAATTCGGGTTCACCCAATAAGGAAATTACACCACGTTACTTTGAGGTTTGAAATTAGCATGACTCTGACCAAGCTCAACCCCTTGGTTTCTCATTCCTTGGATTCCTAGGAATGTGCTAATTATGTTAGGTGGTCAGATCTCCTTATGGCTGACCTTTAAAAAACCTGTTAGATCAGTTATTCTTGTAGTTCTGCTTATTTCTGGGGTCTATGATCAGTGCAAACAGAATCAACACTTTGGTTAAATTGTAACAGACAAATTCCACTTCCAGGTTGCAAACTTGCAAGCTTTGCATTAGCTAATCCTAACTGCTAAACAATTGCCTGGATGTCTCCAAGAGCAATATTTATTGCTCATAATAGTAACCCCTCTGGTTCTGGCTACCACACACACCCATACTTGAATCTTGGATATAGGCTTGTGATAAAGATACTGATGTGACTACTCTTGACACCTCTTTCTCCAGTGTGATCGCGAGGACAACTCCAGAGCAATCCAAGTGGAGTGTGTGCTTGGGAGCAGTAGGTAGGGTGTGCTCAGGCTTCCTAACTGGAGCAGGTTGTCATTACAGTGTAAACATATACTCCTTGTTGAGCATGTTTATTTTGCCATCCCTATGAGATTCTGCCCAAGTGGAGCCAAGTTATATTGGCCTTTAAAAAGTCACAAGTTTCAGTTTCTTGGTAGAGACTTCCTAGAAATTAATAGCTAAAATCTCCAGAGTCCATCCCTGCTAGTGTAAAGAACAACCAGGCATATTCTAGCCCAAGGCTACAGGGAAGAAGCTGGACTTTACGTAAAAGAGCTG